TAATCATTAAATATACTGAAAGCTTTCTTATACTCTTTCGGAAAGGGCATGATCCCTACATCAAATTGTTCATATTGAATTACTACAAGCAATTGAAATCACTTTACTTTCCGGAAAGAGAAAAAAAAACATATATGGGATGAGACGATTTGAAATTCCATAAGAGAAAAGTGATGTTATCCTAGTAATCCAAGAAAAGACTAAGCATTTTGGAGAACTTGATATATGTGTTGATCGACATCTTCTACAATGAAGGTCATTTACTATATTTTAAAATATAAGCGACAGTTCCAAAATCAGCAACAAATCGTAATAGAATGAATGTGTATACATATAAATATATGTACACGCACACACATTGTGTGTGTAAAAGAGATTTCTATAACACTAGTTTGAAACTTGAAAGGCAAGCTAATGGGGAATGGAGGATTTATTAAAAGAATTATAAAGTTGTTTGATATACTAGACAACCATGAATCACACGAACAATCTGAGCTGGAATTTTGTCGGTTTATTTGTGCAAATCCAAACATACATGTTCTCTCCACTACCACCGGCCTCTCTTTCTTCCAATAGGGTTCTATAAATAGGGCTAATTGTTACCATGCAAGCACTAAATTATCTCTGGTAGGTCAAACAACTTAAGCATTCTGGTGTTATTCCTCTTTCACTCCATGGCTAAATCAATTGCTGCATTGGTACTGCTTGTTCTGCTGCTCTCCATTTTCTCTCTCCTCATCCCTTCGGGGGCTCGTGTTCTTTGGGGGCTTCGAGCCACCAAGAAGGATATTGGTAGCCTACACCTTCTTATGAGCAAGTTGGGATTTAGTCCCATGGAAGTCGAGAATTATCGAAGGAGGTCTCTTAATGTCGGTTCTGATAAAGTCTCACCAGGAGGGCCAGATGGTCAGCATCACTTTGATGCACCATTTAACTAGCTGGTTGTTTAGGGTGTAAAAACAGCTCATCCCTGATGTAGAAAGCAACTGAATGACCAAAAAAAAATTTGTTGCTGATAAATTTAGGGTTTAGAGTACTAGATCACAATTCTGTCAGTAAAGCAGAAAATAATGTGCACCCAATGACAAAAGTATTTCGAAAATAAGAAATATATATTATTCAAGAGCATGTGATAATGGTCGCAAATAATGATAACTATTTACACTATGACAGACGTTACGTAACAAAATGGTAAACGAGGCATAAATTTTATTTTTCCATTCTTCACCTTACCTAATTCATAACAGCACTCATGCTTTAACTGTAAAATCATGTAAGCAAGAGTTTTTTAATACTTCCTAATGATTTTTACTATGATCTAGAACTCATCACATTTAAATTAGTTCATAATATGACAAATTGATATATAAGAACAAATATACATGGGTTTGGCTCCTTTCCAGTAACAAAATAATTGGACTATCCTCCAATTCATTTTGCATGGTGAGGATTTATCAACATCAGCAAAGTTATTATAGGCATGAAAAACTTTCGATCTTTATAACAGAGTGTAAGGGTGTAACAGTATTGGTGACCTCCGATACCATTACATACTATAACAGTCACTTTTTTAACTATATGGTCCTAATATAGGTGCACATGTGCATACTGGATGTGTTTTTGCATGTTCATTTGGGGTTAAGATTTGATATATCCCAATAGAGTAATGATAGATGGACTTAAAAACAAAACTTAAAAATTAGACTTAATAATTTCAACCATTGAATAGGTAGTGGGTCCCAATAAATGCTGGGACCCACAGTGAAATCAATGGTTGAGATTATATGTCTAGTTTTTAAATCTATTTTTTAAGTCCATATAGTATTGCTCATGCCAATAAGGCAATGCGTCCAAACAATACTTACGTCCAGGGTGCAGGTCAAGGTTGGGATCGAGGGTTGGTGCAAGAAAGATCTAGGGCCAACTCTGAGTTCGCTTTGAGTTTGGGTATGGTGCTAAGACTAGGTCTAGGGTTGAGGTTGAGTCTAGGGTCGAGTGCAGGTCTGAGTCAGGTTCGGTGTTCAAGTCTGGCATTTGGTCGAGTTGGGTCTGGGTCTGGGTCTGGGTATAGGTCAAAGCCCAGGTCCGGGAAGAAGCAATATCAACAGCAACGAATGTCGACTAACTTGGCTTGGATGTTCGGCAACGACGAGGTTGATCTGGAGGAGATCTTTGCTTTGCGGTTGCCCTAAAAGGAACTGACCGAGAAGAGGGGATAACCTTAGAAGGGAAAGTTAAGGGTGCCAATTTGAGAAGAGTGTCATGACATTTACAACACATTGACAAGAACAGTGTCATACAGCTTACTGACATAACGAGTCCACAAGGTGTAAAAGGCCACAATGATGGTATAAATTGCTCTGAAGTGACTAATATGAAATACACGGTGCAAGTCTTTCAAATGGGGTTCAAGTCTTTGGACAAAAGGGTACTCTAAAAGCTTTGTCTTCTCGACATCAAGGTTCAAGCCTCATTCTTTCTTCCCCTCCCCCTTTCCAAAAAAAAAAAGTGAAGAGAAACTTCACTAATATGTTTTGGGTCAGTCAAGAGGGCTCAATCGATGAAGTTGTAACTAAAAATTTTGGAATATGGCGTAGGGATGTTCTGTACAAGTCTGAATTGGCAGGGGCACTGATTGGGCAAATAAAGCTCAACCTTGCAAAGATTATTGGCTCCAGGAGGAGGAACTCACCCAAAATGAATATCATTGGGCCACAGATAGGAATGTCAAAGATACTCATGGTACTGGAACATGTCAAGAGGTGCCTTATCAATCACATTAAAGAACCATTCAGGTCCCTTAAGGCAGGGAAAAGGCATCATGGTAGGCCGTGTTGTGGCTTGATAAAAAAAAAAGGTAAACAAATTAGAAAAAACTTTGAATCTTTCAAAGTGCAAGGGCATAGGAATGGCCAGAAGAACCAAAGTCATAGGCTGAAGGAGGAGAGTTTATGAAGTAAGCCTAGAGCTAGAGTTGAAGATCCCAAAGGGGTCCACCAATTTTTTTGATACCGCACTTCAAACCCTTGAAAATATTGGGGTAGAGGTAGAAGACCACCATAGGAGCTTGAAATGGTGAAGGAACCCCAAGAAGCCAAATTCACAGTCAATGGGATGAGTTCCTCGATAATTTTACAGAAAAAAAGCAAATAAGGTGTTTATTCAACCACATGAGCAAAAACAAAAGAGTAATGCTACATTAACTTAAAAACTAGATTTAAAAAGTAAAGTTGATAATTACAACCATTGAATAGATAGCCGATTCCTATAAATGCTGAGACCTACAGTAAAATCAATTGTTGTAATTATCAAATCTATTTTTTAAGTCTAATTTTTAAGTCCATGTAGTATTGTTCAAAACAAAATCTGTTATTCGTTCAAAATGTCAGTACCTTCCTTGCCTCTGGTGAACAATATTGAAATTGGAATAAGGTTTGATAGGTTGCTGCTAGAATCCATTGGGAGTAGATAAGTTTTGATGGTGCACAAAAATGAGTTTATGTAAAATTAATCAAGAATGAAATAAAGATGGCTCAACACAAGTAAACATAAAGATTAGGTAGTTCGGTCTATGAGACCTACTCCACTGAAAATGGTAACGGTGGCCGAATAATCTTATTACTTTAGAGGTGTAGTGTGGTAAATGTGTATGTTCCCCCCATGTATAGACGGAGCTTAAAATTTGTAGTCAAGTGAAGTTGGCTCTAAGGGGTTTTGACGGAGGCACCATCCTCGTAATAGGGAGCGTGGTGATTCCGTGAAACTCGCCTTATCCTCATAACGGGGGAGGTGATAGCAGGGTGATTCTTTGAAGCTCGCCCTACCTCGTAACAGGTTTGATGATATTGCAGACTAGTGATGTGCCCCTAATGACTGCGTCCCTATCGATTCCCTCCTCTGGGATGGAAACTCCCACGTGGGCTAGTGACGGACTAGGTTTCTTAAGAAGATGGGCTTTGGCCCAACTAAAACTGTAACTAGGCCATTGTTGGTCTACATTCGTGGTTCGGGCCTAGTATGTAATTCTGGGCCTAATCTACTTCGGGTAATTATTTGTCCCCTATTCCCAGAGTCCAATGGAACTTGGGGATAAGGCATTAGTAAAAATTCATGGGTATCTTTTTTAGTAGGCCGAGTATGGGCAAGAAAGTGTAGGAGGTGAGAAGTAGAGGGAGAGAGCGAGGGCGAAGGTATAGTGCACTAGCACGAGGGCATGTGCGCTAGCACTAACCCGAGGGCGCCTCGTTGCTGGCGTTAAGTGCAAGGGTGTGCGAGCGATGGAGTTGCCGCATCGCGAGGGCATGGGCTATGGCACGAGGACACCGATGCTGTGTAAGGTATTGGACGCTGGTGTGAGGACGTGAGCGATGGTGCGAGGAAACAGACACTGGCACAAGGTGCGAGGGTGCCTAGCTGGTCATTGGCAATAGTGGAGTATGGGAAAAGCATAAAGATGTGGCAAAACTTTGAACGCCCATAACTTTGCCCTCGATTGCCCGTTTGATGCATTTTTTTTAATTCAGGTATTTTTTTTTGAGATCTACTAGAATCAAACATCCTACAACGATTTGGGTACCGAATTTCCCTAAAAATGACTATTTTCCACTGAATTTGAATTTTAATCACAATTTAGTGAAGAAGTAGAATTTTCATGTGTCATGTTCCATTCGTGGGAAATGACAACCTTTATTCTGAAGGGGGAAAATTATAGTTCTCAAGGTATGATAAGTGAGAGGTAGACACATTTGTGAGGGCCAAATAGCCTGCATAGTAAAATAAACCCTTTGTCTGAGAAACCTGACTTTATCCTCTTTTAGCAGCAAAACTATTTTAGTAACAATAGCCTTTTTAGCAATAGAACTCTTTTAGTAGCAGAGTTACTTTGGTAACAAGAACTCCTTGATTAGTCCTTTGGAACTCTTTTAGTAGCAGAGTTACTTTGGTAGCAAAAAATCCTTGATTAGCCTTTTAAATAGGGCATCAAACACTTATCTTAAAGGCTAAAGAGACTCTTCATACACCTTTGGGGTGAAAAGAAAAGAGTGAGATAGGTCAGAGAAGTGAGGAGCCAATTCTAGGGGTCGTGGGCGAGGGCATGAGCAGCGGCTAGGAAGGTGGCGCAATAGACAACGAGGCAGCGGTGTCGTGGTAGCAATTCGACACTGGGCACCTCCAGTGAGGGCGCGAGTGGTGGCCAAGCAATAGATGCCATGGGCAGCGAGGCAAGCACCAAGTAGAGTAGTAACTTTGGCGATGCAAAGGAGAGGCAACAAGCTTAGGCATATTGGGCGAGACACAGGTTGGTGCGGCGAGGGTTTTGGGCACCGGGCAATGGGTAATAGGTGGCAGGCACTGGGCATCGTGCATGATTTGGGTGCTAGGCGCCAAGTAGAAAGACGCAAGCACTGGGGTGCTGGGCACTTGGTTTCAAGTTGTAGGCACCAAGGGCACGAGGGTGTTGGGCTCCGGTGGCTTGGGCGGCAGGCAACAGGCATCCGAGGGCTCAGGCGTATGTAGAGCAAGCGAGAGCACATACGAGTCGCTCGAATATGGCGTTGGCGATAAGGCGTTGGAAGGCAAACAGCCTGTGGACTGCGAGGTTGGTGATGATAGAAACAACATTGCCCAACATCCACGACGATGCAAACTTCTTGGCAAAGTAGTGGTTGATGATGATGGGTCTAATGTGAGCATTATTTCTAGTTTTATCAATACTGATGCTAAAATTGCTAGAATCGTCTATACTTTTTGTATTCCCCCTACTGAGTTGTGCCATCTGGCTGAGATGGGTGAATCAGATTTTGATGATTCATTTGAGGACATTGCCATCTATGAAAAGGTGCTAGTGGCAGGCTTGAGACTCCCGATTCCTACGCTTATGTGTCGTATCTTGGTGCAGTAGTCTCTTATGTCAGGGTGATTAGCTCCAAATGGTTGGAGACTATTGTTAGTATTTCTTTCATTGTGGCAACGGGTGCATGGCATGGGAGCCTCTCCTACTTGCGAAGAATTTGTTGCCACCTATATGTTAAAGGAGAACCCCACTCCAAATCAAGGTTGGTATCACTTTTCTCTAAGGGTAGGAAAGTTCATTATTGGACTACACTCCAACTTTCATAGTTGGAAGACTCAAGTCTTATTCCTTATAGGAGAGTGGGCTATTGAGGAGGATCGCGCTCTAGTTCCAGCAAGTTGGGGTACGCCCATGAGAATAGGTATGAATCTTTCCCTTTCTTATCTCCATTCAATTGACGTGTTCTTTTACGTCTTTACCATTCATTTAGCTTTTTTCAAGTTTGCCAGCGTTGTCAACAGATCAGGGGAAAAGGCTTTAGGCTATGAGAGTCCACCATATTAAGGATTATACGGTTCTTATGCCTAGAAAGGGTCAAACCAGAGTTTTCCCCTTAGGAGATGCTTCCACTCCATCTTCTTCACAGGCTCATGACTCTTTTTCTAAGAGGAGAGGTGTGTAAATTTTATGCTGAATATGATGGAATTTTTTACTTCTACAAAAGCCTCCCTTTCCTCAGGTTCCACAGTGAATAGGTCAAGGGTGGAGGCTCTCCACTCTGCTAGGGCTGTACATGCAACTCCTCCACCCAAGAGGGTAAGTTTCGATTATGGCCCCATAGCTTCCCGGAGGTGCCTCCCCTATCTGTTCCAATTATCAAGGCATCTCCCTTGGCTACGTCGCTAGTCATGGCATCCCATAAACGAGGATTCCTTCTTCTATACAGACCAGAGCGCCGCCTATTTTTCTAGTGTCCAGCAATGGTACAGTGTCCATGTTTTGGGACGTGAATAATGCTAAGGATCGAATCTCAAGTTTTGTGTCGCCCTTAGACAATAAAGAAGTTAGCTATCAGGGTACAATAGTATTATTAACACCATGATAGTTGGCCTAGCCAGGGAAATCATATGCTCTTCTTTTATGTAGAATGTTATTCCTTGTATCCTCTAACGACACTAACCTATTTCTTTTTTTGCATGTTTGTAGATGTTGATGGTCACTACGTGTCTTTTTGTGAGGGGCACCTAGTATGAACGTGTATCAATGACTATGATGAGAGAGAGGCAGACACTATGGGGTATTGAGGAATAGTTAAGGGTGGCTCACGAGAGAGCTGCACTTTTTGAGGCTAAGTTTTTGGCATCTCATGAGAGAGCGGCTAAGCTGGAGGTTTAAACTGAGGTTACTTATGCAAGAACAGAGGCAAAGCTGTAGTCAACTCATGAGAGCATTGTCAGAGCTGAGGCAAAGCTGCTTGTAGCTCATAAGAGGGCTATCGCAGGAGAGGCAGAGTTGCAAGTAGCTCGTGAGAGGACTACTGTAGCAGAGATAGAGCATCAAGTTGCTCATAAGAAGGCTACCAAAGTAGAGGCTGACTCCCGAGAGGTGGAGGCAGGTTGCAAATAAGGTTCTTCATGACGTACAAGATAGTGGAGCAGACACTTTCATTGAAAATTATGAGGAGTTTAGGGAGAAAGCTTCAACTACTTTTCCTAGCATAGAGTTTTCGACATTTGTCTCACATGAGGAGCTGAGCAAAGGTAATGATGACGATTAAGTGGATTCTGATGAGAGTGTGTTTGGCAGCAGTGAGGTGGATGATGACAATGAAAGTAGCCAAAATGTTGAAGAGGAAGTTTAAAAGATTGTCTCTCTCTCTTTTTTTTTTTTTGTGTTGTTTGTTTGTTTTAAAAATTTTGTGAAATGAAAATCCAGACAATTTATGCGATGAATCGTCGAGGCTTTATTTGATAACTACTTATGATAAACACTAGTGGGTAGGTGGCCCAAAGTATAAAACAACTAAACAAAATGAAAACAAACTCCTACTACTGGTGGAAATGAAAACACTTGTTCTGCTACCTTTGTCTTGTCGCACTATTTGTAGTACTTCTTCAGGTGTTCAACATTCCGTGGATGGGGCAAAACCTTTACCTCAGAATTTTGGATTTTGTAAGTGCTTAGCCTCACAATATCCGTCACAGTGTACGACCCCCTCCCAATTTCCTAGCTTCCCCTCTCATGAGTCCTTAGTGGCCAGTATTAACTTCTTAAGAACTAAGTCTCTAGATAAGAAGGAGTGAGATTTTACCCTCGAGTTGCAATATTTGGTCATAAAGTGCTTGTACTCCTCATTCCTGACCATGGCCATCTCTCTGTCCTCCCTATCAAATTGAGGTTGACGTAGAGACCTTCTTCATTGGTGTTGGGATCATGGAGTTGTACCCTCAATGAGTGTACCCCAATCTCAATGGGTATAACTGCTTTAGTGCCAAAAGCGAGGGAGAAAGGAGTCTCAGCATGGGTCTCCTGGGTGTTGTCCGATATGCCTACAACACCCTTGAGAGTTCTTCTACCCATAGTCCTTGGGCGTTCTCCTGCCTGGATTTTAGATTGCACAATATGGTTCTTACAATGACCTTAGCTTGTTCATTTGCTTGGGGATGGGCTAGATTAAAGTGGGGTTATTTGATCTAGAACTAGATGGAAAAAGTATTGAAGCATTTATTGTTGAATTGTTTGGTGTTGTCGTTCACTATGGCATAGGACACTCCAAATTGGCACACCATGTTCTACCAGATGAAGTCATTTACTTTTCTTATCTTTTATCTAATAAATTTTGAGGATGCACAAAAGTGAGTGTATGCAAAATCAATCAAGGATGAAGTAAAAACGGCTCAACACAAGCAAACAAAAAGATTAGGTTGTTTAGTCTGAGTGATCTACTCCACTAAGAATGGTGATGGCAGCTGGAGAATCTTATTACTTCAGAGGTATAGTGTGTGGAGATGTGTGTGATGTCTCCCATGTGTAGGCGGGTCTTGCAATTTATAGGCAAGTGAAGTTGGCCCCGAGGGTCTCTGGCGGAGGCACCATCCCCATAGCAAGGAGCGTGGTGATTTTGTGAAGCTTGCCCTATCCTCGTAATAAGTGAGGTGATAACTGGGTGATTCCTTGAAGCTTGCCCTACCTCATAACGAGTGAGGTGATATTGCGAGACTAGTGATGTGGTCCTGATGACTGCATCCCTATGGATTCTCTCCTCTGGGATGGAAACTCCCACGTGCGTTGGTGACGGATTGGGTTTCTCAAGAAGGTGGGCTTTGGCCCAACTAAAATTGTAACTGGGCCTTTGTTGGTCCGCATCTGTGGTCTGGGCCTGGTCTATAATTATGGGCCAAATCTATAATTCTATGCCTAGTTTGGTCCAGGCCCGTCAAGTTTCATCCGGACAGAATAAAAAAACGGTGATATCTATGTCGAATGACAAAAGAGCAAGGACGTAAAGACATCATGTGCGAAAGGGCCATCACACCCATCTGAAAATAAAATAATTGGTCGAAACAAACTAAAAGAGAAGGGTACAAACCAGAAGGGGCCTATCAATGGGAATAGTTATAGTACTCAACTCAATGCTATCATAGATACCAATGCGACAACATTTGTCTTCCTTCACCCTCTTCACTCGATTTACCTAGGAATTCCATTGGGATGTGGGGGATAGCCAAGTATGAACAGGTGTGTGCATGCTGCAGTTGGACTAAAAGAATAATTCATGCGACCAAAAAGAAGAAATTAATTGAGACCTGGGTAGTATTTTCAAACCACAGAAAGAGAGGATGCCATGAATGTTGGTCCTAGACCAACACCTTGAGGAGTTTAATCGGTATGTTCTATAAAGGTGAAGAAATTTGTATCACCTTAATGAGAACCTATTGCTTCAAAATCTGCTAGGATTGACATTAATGGCTCAATCGATAGACAATTTTCAAGCGATTATTTAGAATGGGTTCAAATGCCTTGTTTCAGAACTTTCCTTGGATGAAAAACAATGAAATGTCGCATTGTGCAAAGACAAAATGGAATAAAAGAGAACTAATAAAAGAGGATTCTTTTATTAATTCAATAGAAGGGGCTTCGGTTACAAAAGAATGAATAAAACAATCTTAATTACAACACTAACTGCTACTAAAACTAGTCTAAAAACTACTACTAATAATGCCCAAATTGTAGGTTTTTTTTTTGGGGGGGGGGGGGTTCGAATGTGTTCATATTCTTCACTAAATGCCTTTTTATAGCCATTATCTTTGATTGTTTTGCTTTTGTTGACTGTTACTGACTGGTAATTCCCAGTTGGTTACTTCTTCCTTTTCAAAAATGGTTGTGGCTGATCATCTCACGTCTTTCTTTAAATTTTACCACGTGGTACTTCCTCAGTGCAACTGGGATGGTAGGTGTTAATACATTGAATATTCTTAGGATTTTATATTTTTTGTCCAAACAATGCCCCCCTTCATTTAATCAGCTTAATCAATAACCCGAATAAATGAACAATCACGACCGTTGCTTCTACAAACACCTATTTAAGGAATTGGAGGTTGTACTATTCATTTAACTTTTTTTCGTTGCTTCATTGCTTTCTATCTTTGTTAGCATCTAGCAATTCTTCTCTTCCATATTCAAAATGGCTTCAAATAAACAAACCATTCCATCTTCATTTGACATTCCTTTCTCCCCCAAATTTTGTACTAAAATCAAACAAATGGCTCGTGACTTAGTAGACCACAAGATTTTGATTCTCATCCCTAATTCCAATGGAAATCTTGCTCTTGGCCCTTGTTTCAAATCATATGTCTACGATGGTTGCTCTGACTTCTATCTTATTCA